CAAGTTGCAGAGGGAATCAAGTGGAGGCGTGAAGCAGATTGTATGGTAAAATAGCAGAATGACTCATAGCAGAATGAACGGCAATGTGTTGGCATGCACACCTATGGGCAATGAGAATGCTATTGCTTCCTTAATTTTTAGTGAGTTTCTAGTGGGAATGGAGCTGTTAACTGCCTTATTCCCAGGAGAAGCTCGCACTGAGTACACCAGGGCTGGTGGAGTGGGAGTTTGTGGCCGAATCCTTCCACCATTGCATAACTGGGACAGCTAAGTGATTCCTTTATTTCTTCTTTCCTAGGGTCGCCATGTCAAAACAGGACAGCTTGCAGCTATTAAAGTCATGGATGTCACCGGGGTAATGTATTATTATTTTTTTGACTTTATGATCATGTAATCTACTGAACAATGTGCAGCTCCGTCAAAAATTGAAACCTCAGTTTTGCCATCCATTGGTTGAGAACACCCGTGGACTTGGATGTGAAGGGAAGTGGACCCTTTTTCATTTAAAAAGCAGTGATTGGTGTCCTCAGTCAGCAGCAGGCTCACCGTCATGCAATAACCTATAGTTGACCCTCAAGTTGCTGAGCTGCAGCTCGTTGTGAATCTAGCTTGGATAGGAAGCTGCCTTATTCTGTGTCAGACACTTTGCCCATCTAGCTCAGTTTTGTCGGCACTGACCTGGCAGCACCTTTCCAGTTTTTCAGGCAGGGGAGAATCCCAGGCCTACCTGGAGATGCTGGGGACTGAACCTGGGACCTTATGCATTCAAAGCGGATGCTCTGCTTATGAGCTGTGGTCCTTCTGCGCCCAGTTTGATGAGCAAGCAGGACGTCAACAAGGAGGCACAGACACTGCCACTGGCTTGGCTACCCTCGTTTTCCAGCATCAGTCAACCATGCCTGCTTTGATTGGCTGTTGCTGTCCCATTAGTCTAGCTGAAAGGTGTGAGTGGCTGTCCTGAGTTGGCAGGCTTGTTGTGTCTTTGCTCTGCCCCTTCCCCAGATGTTTTGAGGGATAATTCTGCAGAATCTATTCAAATGCATAGCTTGAGAAAATAAATGAATCTCTTCTGTTCCTTCACCCCTCACCTGGTACTAGTCCTCAGGGTCTCACCTTACTAATCCACCCAGGATTGAGCTGGAACTCACTGGATCAAGAAACACTGCTCAGAATGAGATGTTTTTTACCAATAGCAATAGAACTATGCATGCCGCAACTCAGTGCATGGAAGCCTTTGGTATTCGGAGCCCTGGATTGCTTCACCTTGCAAGAACCCAGAGTTGGGTGCATTGAGCTGTTGTGTGGCTAGAAGATGCATTGCAGAAAATGCATAAATATGGTCACTGAGGAATTTGCATGACAAAAAAGGAACAGGGATTTTCAAGGTATTAAGCTTGTTATTCCTTTAATAGGAGGAAAATAAACTATGTGCTTGCCAAAAGGCCACAGGGGAAGAAAGTGTAGAATCACTAAAGCTTTCGGAAGCATAAGCACTTCGGGGTTTACTTAATAAGAGTCTTAATTCACGAAAAATCACACACCATGTTTTTAAGCCTCATTCTCAAATTTTGTGCCTGAAAATGCAGCGTGAGATTTCAGGGAGAGCTTGTATTAAAAAGAACACAATTAAATATAGGATTTAAGCCAATCTCCTTCTCTCCCCACCCCACGTTCTCTCACACATGCTGCTGCTTCAGCAGCACATCCATCCACTCCTCTGTCACTTACACACTCATACTCCCTTCTCTGAACGTTGTGGGTTCTTCTGGCTCACACTTGCTTTGTCTTCTGGCAGCCATTTTTCTTTTGGCTCAGACAGAGAAGTCTCAATTTGCTGACTACAGTCGCACCTTGGAAGTGGCACAGAATCCGTTCCGGAAGTCAAACCAAAGTGTGGCTTCTGATTGGCTGCAGGAAGCTGCTCCTGCAGCCAATTAGAAGCCCCGTTGGATGTTTGGCTTCCAGAAACAGTTCACAAACGGGAACAGTCACTTCTGGGTTTGCGGCATTCGGGAGCCAAAACGGTCAAGAACTAAGCTGTTCAGAAATCAAGGTACCACTATATACAGGTGCTCATATCTGGCTCCTGGTTCAACGATACATTGGAACGGGAGCTTTAAGCCTGACAGCTTTTAGAATAAACAGCAGATTTTCGTCGGGATAGGTATAACCGCATGTCACTTCACTCCAAATCTTCAGATGACATCAACCAGTGGTTCCAAGTGGATGTCAAAATGGTGCTCACTTCCCTCAAGTCACATCCCAGCCAGCCAGCTTGGAAGGATACCATAGTCAATAATATTGTAAATACCCTTTAAGAAATGTCCAAGAGTCTACAAATACAATGATTGAAAAGGGCCTGCCATTCACTGGGAAGCAGGGCTAGCCCCAGTTTGAGGGGGGTCCTTGGAGAGAGGCACCCTTTGATCAAAGGAACAGGTTGCTGCAAGAATTGCTAATTTCCCGAATGCCTGTTTCCTACCAGACAAGGTTCAAGCTTCTTCTTTTAATTCACAAAGCCCTAAACTCCTTAGGCCCAAAGTACTTTAAGGACTGCCTTATTACTTATGTTCCACCTTGATCACTGAGATTTTTGGAATGGGGCTCTTTTCATGCCCTCACCCAGGGTTCAGTTTGCTTTCAGCAAGGACTGAGCCTTTAGTCTGGCACACCCTGACCTGGGAAACCTCTTGCCAATAGAAATTGGAGCATGAATCATCCCAACTTTCTTCTAGCTGTCTTCTAAAAACTAAGGCCTTTGGAATTCGATGTTTTTTTTAACCAACAAGTATTTATTGACATGATGTTGATGTTCTCACAGAATTGAGAAAAAACATATTGTAGTATTACATTTTTATGTTGCGAGCCACCTTGCTATATTTTCTACGAAGGTTTTTAATACCTGAATAAAATACAGTCGTACCTTGGCTTTCAAACAGCCTAGTTCTCCAGCGTTTTAACTCCGGAACACTGCAAACCTAGAATTGAGTGTTCCGGTTTGCGAACGTTTTTTGGAAGCTGAACGTCCAACGCGGCTTCCGATTGAGTGCAGGAAGCTCCTGCAGCCAACTGGAAGCCGCACCTTGGTTTTCCAACATTTTCGGAAGTCAAGCGGACTTGCGGAATGAATTCCATTCGAGAACCAAGGTACGACTGTAAAATAAATTATACATTGTTCAACTAACACACTATCCATATTGAACTTTAATTGCTCTCAGTTTAAATATCCAGGCTGCAGTCGTAGTCATAGCATGCTTTAATAAACTGAATTCAGTGTTAGAAACTGAGATATGAAAGTTAAGAGCTAAATGGCACTTTAAACCTAGGTTATCAGCGCCACAATGGAGTGTCTGGGTGTGCTTTTTTAATAACAAGAATACAAAGCTGAAAGTGAATGAACTGCAGCCAAGATCTTATGTTCATTTTTCACATGGTCTAGTCCTCATCTGAAGACTGCAAAAAACAAACAAAGCCGTACTTCCCCTGCCCGCCCCACTAATATTCTTATGTGGGTCCCTTCTTCAGTCTTCAGAGAGTGGCTGGAAGTGTGGAGGCAGAAAAGGTCCTCCTTTTCTTCCAGCAGTGGCAGCTTTTAATCTGAAATCTTGGGCTCAGTACTGCGTCCAGAGCTCAGAAACTGCTTGCATTAATGAAATTCCCTGTCACAAAAATGCCTAGCACAACTGGAGTTTCAAATGTTGAGTGCCTTGTATCTAGAGGTTGCTTCCGCTGGTGGAAGGAGTCTTTTTCATTGGTCGAAACCTTGTCCATTCACAGATGGGAGCCTTTGGATACAACCAACCCAGTGCGCTGAGCTTTCTGTGGCATTTCACTGGCGCTCAACTTTATGTACTGAGATTGTGAATGAGGATTTTTCATTATAAGAAAGGGAGAAGGGTTGGGGAGGGATGAAGATAAAAATGAACCAATTATGATTAAGACGAAGAGAAGTAATGCCTGGAAATAAGCCTGTTGTTGATTTGGTGACACTGATTATATTTCTTTTTTATCCAGGATGAAGAGGAAGAGATTAAGCAAGAAATTAACATGCTAAAGAAATATTCGCATCACCGAAATATTGCTACTTACTATGGTGCTTTCATTAAGAAGAACCCCCCAGGAATGGATGATCAGCTTTGGGTATGCAATGTTTCCTTCCTCCTCCTCTTCTTTTTACAAACAGCGTTTATTTTCTTTGGCTTATCTACATGGGATATTCAAAATCCCTGTGACATTTTACAGAAAACCGTGAAGGATTTATTGTTTCCTTGCCTCTGGAATCTGTGTGCTTCCTTTTTAAGGGCTGTGTTTCTCAGATGCTCTAGATCACCTGCATATTGCTATAAAGAAATAACACTTCTGTTTCTTCTAGCATAGCTTAAGCTCAGGTTTGAAGCAGACACTGTCTCCATAAAAAATATTGTGCATTAAGAATGCTGCAGAAGAAGAAGTTGCTGGATCAGACCAAAGACCTATCTTGTACTACAACATCCTATTCTCACAGTAGCCAACCAGATGTCTATACGAAATCTGCAAGCAGAACTTGTGTTAACAGTGCTGTGTTCAATTGTGGTCCCCAGCAACTGGTATTCAGAGGTATATTGCATCAGATTCTGGAGTTAGTACATGGCCATTGTGGCTATTTAACCTTCTCCATGAATTTGCCGAAAAGCCATTTAAAGCCTTCCCTGTCGGTTGCCATCACTGCATCCTCTTACAGCCAATACCATAGTTTGATTATGCACCGTGAGAATAGCTACTTCTTTTTATCCTGAATCTTTCACCAGTCAGCTTCATTGGATGCCTCCAAATTGTTATATTATTTGGGTGGTGGTGGGAATTCTCCCAATTCTCTTTATCCACATCGCAATTTTACACACTGGTTCTCACACGCCTCCTTTCCTCACCCTTTCCCTAAACTCAAAAGTCGCAAATCATAGAGTTGGAAGGGACCCTGAGGATCATGTAGTCCAACCCCCTGTGATGCAGGAATATGCAGCTGTCCCTTACAGGGGATCGAACCTGCAACCTTGCTGTTGCCAGCACCACGCTCTAACCAACTGAGCTATATTGTAACCTTTCCTTGTAGGGGAGTTGCTCTAGTCCCATTTGGCTGCCCTTTTCTGAATTCTTCCCCAGCTCTACAATATTCTTCTTTGAGGTTCAGCAACTGCAGTTATATATATTATTCCATGCTAAATAAAACCTGTAGGGTGTTAAATGCTATAGGGAACAGGTTTGCCACCTGTGTCATGTCTGCCCTGTGCCCCCTTGCACTCCATAATATCTAGCACGATTTGTCACCTGTGTTGGCATCAGTGTGAACCCTGGGTTGAAGGTTAACAGTGGTAGCCTGACGCAGGTTTTGCAAACATGGGGCTTGTGTGTGAATCAAATGACAGTAAGAAGGCATCCTATGGGCCCATAGTTGAAAGCAGCGCTGTGTATTTTGACCCACGTGATTCACTAAACTGCCACGTTTTTTGTTGCCTGATTGAATTAGAACTCGTGAGAATTCTGCTCTTCCTGCTCTGGAGATAAAAATGCTTGTTTATTTCCCCCTCTTGCCTTTGTCGGAATAAAAATCTTTGCCGATAACGCCAGAGTTATTCTCTTTATCAACACTCGGATGAAGTGGTACAAGAAATAATAATAATGAAAAGGCAGAGTTCTTTCAGTGCAGATTAGGATCTCTCCGAAAGAGCAGGTTTCCGACATATTTTATTGCCACCTTGAAGCGCATCTTTCTATTTTCGCTGCACACATTTTATAATATTTGTAATTTTCATGAAAATGTTCTGTAATTGCTTTTAGCTTGCCATAAGCTGCCCTGAGCGGTGGAAAGGCAGGTACAGGTGTTCTGAACAAGCATTAAAGTGCAGGACAACACAACCCCTTGTCAGGCTCCAGGGATAGAGAGGCCCAGTGGGTGTAGTTTGCTGTCAAGCCAACCCCCACAACAAGTTCCATAATAGAGTGGGTACTCTTTGACAGTGAGGTCTTCACGGTTATAGAGCCTATGTGCACTCGGGCATAGCCAGGGTGTTACGTACAAAATCCAAAAGAGGGAAGTTACATCAGCGCATGGAACATCTCACTTTATTGTTCTTAGAAAACACTGCTTTCATTTTATTTTAAGAGAGAAATTGTGAGGATTAAAAATAAACCAATTGTTGTCGTTTAGTCGTGTCCGACTCTTCGTGACCCCATGGACCAGAGCATGCCAGGCACTCCTGTCTTCCACTGCCTCCCACAGTTTGGTCAAACTCATGCTGGTAGCTTCAAGAACACTATCCAACCATCTTATCCTCTGTTGTCCCTTTCTCCTTGTGTCCTCAATATTTCCCAACATCAGGGTCTTTTCCAGGGAGTCTTCTCTTCTCATGAGGTGGCCAAAGTACTAGAGCCTCAGCTTCAGGATCTGTCCTTCCAGTGAGCACTCAGGGCTGATTTCCTTCAGAATGGACCGGTTTGATCTTATTGCAGTCCATGGGACTCTCAAGAGTCTCCTCCAGCACCATAATTCAAAATTCAAAATTCCATGGACATCTTGGACTCCATGGACACAAATTACACCTTGGTTAAAATTTAGTAAGATCGCCAGGGGACAGGCAAAATTGCTACAAGGGTTGGATTCGTCTCACGGATCCCTGGCCTGTTGTGTGAACATAAGAATCAGGAGAACAGGGTTGCCAGGATCCATTTTAAGGGCTAGCCAAGGCCCGTGCGGAGCTTGTCCCTGTTCGGCTGGGAGGCACAGGGTGTTCTTGACTTGACAGTGTCAATCCGGCAGGGCTGTGACGGGGCTCCCTGACCTGCTTAGACCTCCAAGGCCTAGGGCAAGTGTACTCGGCTGCCCTCTACCTCTGCACGGCCTGGGCCTAGACCAGGGTAGCTAAACTACGGTCCTCCAGAGGTTATTTGGAGTACAGTGCCCATCATCACTGACCATGCAGGCTGGGACTGATGGGAGGTGGAGTCCAGCAATGCCTTCGGGGCCATCCCTGACTAACCACTCCTGGCCTATCCCCTAGGAACACTTTCAGGCATTGAGATCAGAACAGTAGCGGGACTCTCTGTTTCCCCACCACAGACCTGCCTCCATTCTTCTTTACCCCTGCCTTGCCTCACTTCAACTCTGTTTTGCCTTGCTTTGCCTCACCTTCCATCTCTCTATATTGCCTTGCTTGAATAAATCTCACCAGTAGCCATGGGAGATACTAACTTTGGCAGAAGGGAAGCACCATCCTTTTTATATTATTTCACAGAACTTGGAAGAGGTGAAAACTCTAGAATTTGGGCCGCTTCTTCAGAGCCTGGAATGTAAAAAAAAGGGGGGGGCGGGAAATAAATATATATGGATGTATCAATGTACATTTATTAGTTCATTAATTAGAGCCATTCACTCAGGTATGCTTACACTCTATTGCATCTTGAGAGCACAGAGTGCATTGTGGACACAAAATAAAATTTCTCTCCCAAATACTCCTAAAGTAGAAAGCCCTGCAAATATAAATCCCTCCACTCTTTAACATCCAATTAGCTGTACAGTGTCCAACGACACTCTGTTTATTAAATCAGAGTCAGTAGCTCACCAGATTGTTCTCCTTCCACCCCTTTGGCTTTTGTCTTATTGGAAGGGGTGGTTGATAGGGCTCCATCCTGGTCCCCTGTCCTCATTTTTAGTGATCTTCATCCCACAACTCTCCTTTGCCCTACCTGGACTTGCCTTGTTAGATTTAATGAGATCATAGCACCAGGCATCTAAGATTCCGGGGCCTTGTCTTAAGTAATATCTTTGTAGGAACAATGGGGGAAATTAATGCTAAGGGTTACCAAACAGAGTAAGGGGTACAAAATTAAAAATCCATTCCATTCGCATTGGTATTCCGGAGCCTCTTCTGGAAATGTTATTGCAAGCTGTGGAGCCCTTCTTTAATTTCAATATGTTAACACAAAAGCATACATCCGCAAGGTAATATAGGTGCCATTCTGCTTTATGTTTGTCATCTGTCCTTGCTGTCTAGGGTGGATTGAAGTGATTAACCGAAAAGCACTGCCATACATGTACAATGGCGTTGGCTTTTTCGCTGCTCGTCTGCTGTTTGCAGAGTTGCAGTGTTCAGGCAGACAGAGAGCTCCAGGCCAGTGAAAGCTGGGGGCAAAATGCTGGTGACAGAGCCGCTCCCCAGAGGGGATGAGGCTCATGCCTTCCTGTCTAAGGATGGATTGCTTCCATGGCAACCCTCAGAGTTTAGATTTAGAATGGTTGGTAGATTCGTAATGAGGAGCTGGGTGGGGGCTGGGAGGGAAGAAATTCATATGCAGAGCATGCAACAGAGATATATTCTTGGTAGGGTGGGGTGGATTTGCCAGGATTCCTGCCCTTCTTCCACCATGGAGCTGAGATGACCATGGCTAGTAATTTCCCCAAACTGTGTGGTTCATAAGGGAGTATATTATGCAATCTGTCGGAGGCTAAAATGGCACCAGTCTTTGCATTATTATTTTTCAACATCCAGCGGCCAAATCTGAAGCTAACTGATCAGCAAGCTCTCATATGACCCTGGGCCTTTGTTTCACCCATCTTGCGATGGCTCCTTCTAAACAGGAGCCATTAAAATATCCCAGGCTGCTGGTTGCCAGTTGCCAGTCAACTGCTGCCACTGAGGACCTCCGAGGCAAGGGAGTGGGGCCTATCTGCTGAAACTTGCTCACTCCACAATGACCAAGTGGACTTGGCCTGGGCAGACCTTTAAATACAGGACTTTGTTCTGTAAAGTAGGACATCTTGCATCTTCTGGTGGGAAGGAAAGGACTAGTAGATGTCTGCAGATGGTGAACAGTATTGGGCTGAGCCAATTTTGTTTTGTTTTCCTCAGCAGCACAGCTCTGGAGGGTAGGGGGAACAGCCTTCTTTACCTTTGCAAAGTCCTACCTCCATCTTTGTACTTCTCCCTCTCAGCTATGAGTGCAAGAAAGTACACCTGTTCCAAAGGTAGAACGTTGAAGTGATGGTGTCTTTGCAAACAGTCTGCAGTCTCTTTTCGTAGAGGCAAAGAGGTGCTGTTTTTGTTTAAGTCAGGCACCCATTTTGGTTTGGGCGAATCTGTGTTTTAATGTAGTCAGGAACACTTTGTCACATTTGCCATTATTATTGACACCTCTTTCATTTAATACATTCATGACACTGCTAATTGGAAATGCCTCTTTTTTAGCAACAAGTGCTTACAGTAGTGTCCTATTGAGATGGCAGCCTCTTTGAATCAATATTCCATCATCTGTGTCAGTGACAAAACCTGCTGGGGCTGGATATTTAATAATAATAGTTGAGAAAATTCAGGGTACAACAGAATATTTTTGTGGATTTTTTCCCTAGCTTTTGACGGCTATGTTTTTTAAACCTTGAGTGCACATTGTATTATGGTACCTATTTTTGTGGCTTCAATACTACTGCTATTTTTGTTGCGTTCTGTGATTTATTTTTTATGTAAACTGTTTTGAGGTAACAGGGACATAAACAGATATAATAATGAAAATAATAATCCCCTTCTGTATGTTCTGGATCTTTAGAGGAGCACCAAAAAACAGAGCGATGTGAAACCCTTGTATGTTAGCTGACTACTTTTAATTTCTGGGATGCTTTTGTTATATATCTAGAAGCTTCCAATAAACCAAGCCAACAGGTTGCTTCATGTGCATATTGTTAAAAATTTAATCTTGAGGAGAGTGAAATCAAGGGCAGGCGGTTATGGAGGCTTGAGAGAAGTGAGCCGGCACTACCATTGAGACAATCTTTCAAATTAATGGATGAACTGGATCTCGCTAATATTGTTTGGTCCTGTCTCTTTAATATTTCATGATTGCAATGTGTCATGGAATGTGATCTTCTTTTTTAATCAGTTTTTAATTATGAACCGTGTGTACATAAAGGGCCATGCTCCTTGTCTCTTTTGGCCTGAAGTAAGAAGACAAATGGCCTTTACGGACAAATGGTCTGTATTTTACATTCTTTCCATGCTGGGGTGCTCCAGACAGATAAGCTTGCGTATTGTTATTTGTGGGCACACAAAAAAA